CCCGTACAAAGGTTGTCGGCAGTGCAAACACTATCAATACGCGATAGTGCCACAATACAGCCTAAGAGCAGGAAACCTCATTATATTATTATGATGTCTACAGTAGATTCGAATGAACTGATGCCAATGCATGCATCTGCACCGAATTATAGACAAAAGTTGATTTTTGTACTCGTGTTCTCAATAAAATAACCTACAATCCGTGTGGCAGGAAATGTCTATAACTTACTTAGAAAAATCGTTTAGTTGTTGACTATAGCCTTGAATCAGCGTTTCGAAGCGCAGCATAATCATGGCGAAGATTGCTACTAACGTAGCCATCATCAGGTTCTTTCAGTTTGACAATAGCTTGCCAATTTTTTTTTGTTAAGTTCAAACCATCATTCAGTAGAGCAGTGAAAACGTTAATAAATACGTAAATTTGCGACGAAATCTTTTACAAAACTTGCGTCATTTCGCAAAATTTCATAAACTTGCGCAATCCACGTGGAGTATAAGTGAATCAAAATTTTCAAAATGCTCAAGAATAGTCTTGCTAGTCACTAACTGCTCATGCAATTACTCCGCAAGTCGGAGTTCTTTATATACTTTGTATTCTTGTCGTAATTAGAAACTGAGAAAGCGGAAGTCTGTAGCTATTGCCAAAGCAGTGCTGGGCCAATCGAAATAGGTAATTTTGTACACCTTTGGAAGTACCAACATGATTTTTCCGTCTGAAAGCGGTAGTCATAATGGAAAATCTATCTCAACGGAAAAGTGGAAATAAGTAAATTCGTATTTGCAGCTCATTTCTGTTGTTCTTTTATAGCAGCGAAAAAAGGCAGCAATGTACACATAGTTGATGTGGAAAGTGTTTGGGTGACAGGAAGTCAGCGCAATTTTTTGGGACGGACATATTCCGCTTTTTTCTCCATGTGGATGAGACTTCTTGCAAGTTTTCGCAGACTGCCTTCAGAGCATTCATTGCTCTGTCAAATAGTAGCTTGTTTACCAATTAGAAAATTGAGATTGGGAAGATACTGTCAAGCTGAAAAACCCATGAGGCAACCTTTATTTTCTTTTGCAAGATTGAAACAAGTGTTTTTCTTCGTTTTTTTCTTGTACTTTTCGCTTTATTATTCCTCTACCAATAGGAGTTCTAAGTACATCAATGATTGAAATGTCGATCTGTTATCGGCAAATCAAGTCCGTGATGGCTGAGATCACTCACAGCTGGTTTTGATAGCACAATCTAGCCGCGCGCACAACACATCGTTTCAGTTTATCGTATGATGTTTCTGCAGAGATTTATAGCTATGTGATAATAATAACCATATTCTCAAACCGTGACAGGTTTCGCTTGATTCATTTAATCATTCAGCAACCCAGAGAGCTAAATGTTGTTACTTACTGTGCTCTGTTTTGCTCTTCTTGCACAAGTAAAATCTCAAGCAAGGGATGGATCAGCAGCAGCAAGCAGGTGAGGTATAAACATTTTAATTTTTTGAGTAATATTTCAAAGTCTTTCCATATAATTAAAATTTTCCCAGATCTTAATTTGCAACTTTTAGTCCTGTATGTTAGATTTATAAGTCGTTTCTTATATTGAAACAATTACAATGTGATAAGAGTGTGAGTCAAAATAAAGTATAGTGATTTTTGTGTCTAAGACATTTCAGATTCAAAAATATTCTATGTTCTATCCAAGATATTCTCACTTTTGCTACTAAAATTTACTCGACTCAGAAAAAACTTCTTCATTCATGTTTTTAATCTTGCTTTTTCGTATTTTTCTATCTAAACAATATTTTTGCACTTCAATTTGCAGTAATACTTTCCGGGCAAAAGAAATCAAAGAATAAGACTTTCCTCAATACCCATTATGAACTCAAAGAAACTTTTCAGAGCACGTCACTTGAGCGAAGCACGGATATTTGATTTGCCCAAAGCTGCCCCTACTGCTCGAATAATCAAACTATCCACATTACTTCGTAAAGGGAAACGAAGCGGTGGAGATGACGATCTATTGAGAGATGCGGTAAGTTGGTAATCTCAAATTACCGACTGTTTGATTACCGTACCAGAATTCTCTGT